CGCCGCCAGCGTCGCCGCCATGGACCTAGGTGGGTGTTCCGCTCCCCTGCCCCGGGCCCGCGTGGGCCGCGTCCGGCAACCGGCGACCACAGTGCTGAGTGGGCCGGGACTAAGAGGGACCTCCGGGTCGGGGAGGGATTTGAGAGGGCGGGGGTATCCTGGGGACCAGGGGTGTCCTGGAGACCGGGGGTGTCTTGGAGATCGGGGGTCGGCCGGGCTCTAGCTCCGGCCTTGCAGCTCCTCCGCCCGCCCCTTGCCGGCTCCTGGCCCCTTTCCAAGTGAAGGGCCAAGCGGAGGTGAAGTTAGTGTTCCCGACCGTGGGCAGGTTCGGGCACGTGCTTTGGAAAAGGCAGGGCTCGGAGGACGCCCCGGGGAATGCCAGATGCCCCGACGGTTTCATTTATTGAACTTATACTGAGTTCTTGAGCAAGTATCTTAACGCTTTTGAGGTCCTCGTGAATAAAACGGGATGGTGATATACGGTAGTATACACCTCACAGTTTGGGGAACGTTTCCCTTGAGATCACGTGTGTACCGAGTCCCGTCCGGTGCCTTTCGCAGAGCTAGCGTCCTTCAGACTTGCAGTTGTGCAGAGGGGTTGCAGCCGCCGAGATGGCACGTGTATCGTGATTCCTCAGAGGCGGGGTCGGGGGTCGGGAATAGCTAGCATAAGTTGGAGGCTCCTTGCCCAGCCTTCCCACTGCCCACCCACCTCCTGGCTGGACGTGTTCTTAAGGGAATAAGATCAGAGAGCTGTCCTGGGAGAGTTGTGTTGAGACACCCCAAGATGTCCCGGCATCAGTAGACTGTAGAGAGACGTTCTGGCCCCTGGCCCCAGCCAGCTCGTCAGGGTAGAGTTTGGAGCCCTGCACCTGTGGTGATTTCTGTCCCAGCCCCACCACTTTGTAGTTCTGGCATACTTAGCAAATTGTGTCTGAGTCTTAATGTTCCCATCTCTGAAACAGAAATAGGCCTCAAAAAGATTAAGAGATCTTATCCACATGCCACCTAGCACAGTGCCTGGTACGGAGGGAGTAAGCACTTAGTAAACATATGGAGTGGGCACTCACTAGCACCAGTTAACCAGTGATAAAACGCTCAGGATTTGCCCAGCCGTTAACTGCTTCTGGGACTTACTCTTTCAAGTAGCGCAGCTGAGCTGATAGTGCAATAAAATCAAATTTACAGTCATAAGGGAACATATTTTAGGGGGCCCTAGGAGAGCAGCCTGAACCAGAAAGAAGGGCCTGAACCCTCAGAGAGACTCTTCAGCAACCTAACACCCCCAGCCCCACCCCACTGCTCCCCCCTGCACAGTCTGCCCTGGCCACTGGGCCGCTGAGGTGGATTGCCTTCACCAGTGAGTGGTATAGGAGTGCTACTCCCTTAAATGGTCGAAGGGGCAGGATAGTCTCCTGGAATCACGATTCTCTGCTGGCTCCTGGCCTCTAAAAATGGCGAAGATGTGTTCTTGGGGTCATGAGGGAGTGAGGAAGGGCCCTGGGATGGGGGAGAGGAATCCGGAATATTGAAGAGTGAACAGTGTTTTCACTCTGATTTAGTTTATGGGCCAAAGGAGACATGCCTGAGAAAGACCTATGTCCTGTTTCTAAGCTGGGGGAGGCAAAGAATAGTGACAAGATTCTGGTCCTGCCAACAGTGGAAAGGTTTAGGGGAGCCAGCGTTTAGTGAGCACTTAATCAGGCTCTTTGTAGCCTGAGTCTTACTGTAGCTATTTCCTATTTAATGCTCAGTAGCCCTGGGAGGTGGGATCAGGAGCCGACAGCAAGCACAGACCCAGTGCCCGGGGCTGGTCTAGTGTATATTGTTTGATCCTCACCGTCATAATGTGAAGTCTGTATTATCGCCACATATGAAGAAGGAAAGCTCAGAGAAGTAAGCTAAGATCTCACCGCTTTTAAATAGCAGAGCTAGGATTTAAACTCATGTCTGATTAAACATCCCAAGATGCGTTTTTTCCCCCAAACTTTTTGTTTGTTTTTGTTGTTGTTGTTTTTTATTTGGGGGAGTTAATTAGGTTTATTTATTTTAATAGAGATCCTAGGGGTTGAACCCAGGACCTCGTGCACATGCTCCACCTCCTAGCTATATACCCTGCCCCCCTCAAGATGCCTTTCTTGGTAAGTCTGTATCAACTCGTGACTTTCTGAAGGAAGGACTTCTGAATCTAATGCAGTATTTTTTCTATCTACCTCTTGGTTTCTACCAGAGAACCAGGACCATTAAGTAGCTTGTTCTCCATGGAAAGAGCTGTGGGAATTGAACTTTCCCTAAGAGGCCTGACATTGGAAATCTGTTTGCAAGATAAGGGTTTAAGAGAAAAAGAAGGAAGGCATGGCTTGTCTGAGTGCTTGTGTGCCCACAGCTCTGGTCCCTGCCCCTCCTCCTCTGTACTGTTACTTGGAAGCTCAGTTGTCATGTCCTACAGTGCGTACTTGGTGGCTGCTATAGTTTGGTACTGTCCTTGTGCTCGCTCCTGCTTGCTCTCTCTCAGCCCTTCCTTCCAGATCCTCTGCTGGCCCGTCCTTCTGCTCAAGGGCCTTCCCTCAGCAATCCAGCTTTTCCTTTACACGGTGCCTTTCCTGCAGGATCTCATTTGCTTCCTTGGTTCCATTCATCCCCTCTGGGCAGGCTTCTCCCTGAGTCACATTTCAAGGCTGACTTTCCTCCCAGGCTTCAGCCCCGCATTTCCATTGCTGGAGAATGCCTCTACCCTAATGTTCTGCCTCGAACTCCAAATAACCAAAACCAATCAGGGTTTCCCTCCAAGTCCATCTTGCGTGTTCCTGTTTCCAGTGGTGCCCGCTGTCTTCCTGGTTCCAGGCTAGAGAGCGTGGGAGTTCTTTTTTATTCCCCAGGTGGGTCCTTTTGACTCCAACTCTGCAGCAGCTCTTAGATCCATCCCTTCTTTCCCCTCCCACTGATTTCGTTTAGAACCCTCATCATCTCTCCCCCTGACGGTGACAGCCAGTCCACTGACTGCTGTCTCTGTCTACCCTCTGCTTTCTCTTCTGAAGAATTTTCACCACATTCCATCCTATTCGACTCTGTCTGTGCAGGACCTTTGAATATCTGTGAAGAAATGACTATTCTGCATGGGGGCTTCTTGCTGGCCGAGCAGCTGTTCCGCCCCAAAGCCTTGGCAGAATTGACGAAGTCAGACTGGGAGCATGTTGGGCGGCCCATTGTGGAGGCCCTGAGGGAGATTTCCTCCGCCACGGCGTGCTCCCAGCCCTTCGCCTGGAAGAAGAAGGCTCTCATCATCATCTGGGCCAAGGTTCTTCAGCCCTCCCCCGCCACCCCTTCTGACACGGAAACTCGGTGGCAGGAGGATGTATTCTTCTCTGTGGGCAACATGATCCCCACCATCAATCACACAGTCCTTTTTGAGCTGCTCAAGTCCCTGGAAGCTTCCAGCCTCTTCATCCAGCTCCTCATGGCCCTGCCCACCACCATCTGCCGGGCAGAACTGGAGCGCTTCTTGGAGCACATGACTATTGACACCTCTTCAAAGGATGTGGCCTTTTTCCTTGACGTCTGGTGGGAGATGATAAAGCACAAGGGCAACCAGCAGGACCCCCTGCTCTCCCAGTTCCGGACGATGGCCCATAAGTACCTGGCCTCCTCGGATGACTTCTCCCACCCTCCAAAGAGGTTTAAGTCAGACCCAGACGTGTGTCCAACCATGCCCCTGCTGGCCATGCTGCTCACTGGGCTGAAGCAGATCCAAAGCAGGATCCTGTGCCCCGGGATGAAGTGCTGCACCTTAGCCAACTTGGCTGACATGCTGACCGTGTTCGCACTGATGGAGGATGACCCCCAGGAGGTGTCCGCGACCGTGTATCTAGACAAGCTGGCCACGGTGATCTCTGTGTGGAACTCGGACACCCAAAACCCATATCACCAGCAAGCACTGGCTGAGAAGGTGAAGGAGGCCGAGCGGGATGTCAGCCTGACCTCCCTGGCCAAACTGCCAAACGAGACCATCTTCGTGGGGTTCGAGTTCCTGCGCAGCCTGCTGCGGGAGTGGGGCGAGGAGCTGCAGGCCGTGCTCAGCAGCAGCCAGGGGATGAATTATGACAGCTACCGGCTGTGCGACAGCCTGACTTCCTTCAGCCAGAATCTGAAGCTGTACCTGGAGACCACCAGCCTGTCCAAGGAGGAGAGGCAGGTGGTCTCTGAGCTGGCGGAGTGTGTAGGGGACTTCCTGAGAAACACCAACAGGGTGCTGGAGAACAAGGGCCCGGAGAAGGACATCACCGCCTCCATCGCCATGGCCATCATCGAGCAGAAGATGGACCGGCACATGGAAATGTGCTACATTTTTGCTTCCGAGAGGAAGTGGGCCTTCTCAGACGAGTGGCTGGCCTGTCTGGCCAACAACAGAGCCCTCTTCCGAGAGCCAGGCCTGGTGTTAAAGCTGTTGGAAACAGTGATGGACGTCGGCACGAGTGACTGGGCCGTCCCTGAGCCTCAGATCAAACAAGTGATTGGCTTGATCCTGGAGTGTTACACACACCTCTCGCTGCCAGATAAAAATAAAGTCCTCTCAGGCGTCCTGCTTTCCTGGGGGCGCAAGGGCCTCTCAGAGAAGTTGTTGGCTTACTTGGAGGGGTTTCAGGAAGACCTCAACACGACCTTTAACCAGCTTGCGCAGAGCGCATCCGAACAGGGCTTGGCGAAAGCCATAGCTTCTGTGGCCCGCCTGGTGATTCTGCACCCGGAGGTCACGGTGAAGAAGGTGTGCAGCCTGGCTGTGGTCAATCTCGGCATCCACAAGTTCCTGGCGCAGATTCTGACTGCCTTTCCCGCCCTCAGGTTCACGGAGGAGCAGGGTCCAAATCCATCCCCCACTTTTGTGGTGTCATGCCTCAAAGAAACCGTCTGGATGAAGTTATCCACGCCCAGGGAAGAGAAGCAGTTTCTGGAGCTCCTGAGCTGCCTGGTGAGTCCCGTGAAGCCCCAAGGGATTCCAGTTGCTGCTCTTCTCGAACCAGATGAGGTGCTCAAGGAATTCGTCCTGCCTTTCTTGATGCTGGATGCCAAAGAGGTGGACCTCGGCCTGAGGATCTTCACCCAGACTCTCGAAGGAAATGCATGCCTAGAGGAGTACTGGCTGCAGGCCTGTTCTCCGTTCCCGCTCATCTTTAGCCTGTGCCAGCTCCTGGATGGCTTCAGCAGATACTGGCAGCTCCCCAAGGAGCAGCGGTGCCTCACTCTGGAGGGCAAGGATCGAGCGATCCACATCCTGGAGCTCCTCTGCGAGGTGGTCTTAGCCAATGCCGAGACCTTCTCCCCAGACATCTGGGTCAAGTCCCTGTCCTGGCTCCACCGGAAGCTGGAGCAGCTGGACTGGACCGTGGGCCTGAGACTGAAGAACTTCTTTGATGGCCACTTCAAGTGTGAGGTGCCGGCCACGCTTTTTGAGATCTGTAAGCTTCCCGAGGATGAGTGGACCTCCCAGGCCCACCCTGGGTACGGGCCCGGCACAGGCCTGCTGGCCTGGATAGAGTGCTGCTGCATGTCTAGGGGCCTCTCTGAGCGGATGCTCGCCCTCCTGGTGGTAGATGTGGGCAACCCCGAGGAGGTCAGATTGTTCAGCAAGGGCTTCCTGGTAGCCCTGGTGCAAGTCATGCCTTGGTGCAGCCCCCATGAGTGGCAGTACCTCCAACGGCTGACCAGGAGGCTGCTGGAGAAGCAGCTCCTGCATGTCCCTTACAGCCTGGAGTACATTCAGTTCTTGCCTTTGCTCAACCTGAAGCCCTTTGCCCAGGAGTTCCAGCTCTCTGTGCTCTTGCTGAGAGCCTTCCAGTTTCTCTGCAGCCAGAGTTGTCGCAATTGGCTTCCCATGGAAGGCTGGACTCATGTGGTCAGACTCCTATGTAACAGTCTGACCAACCTCCTGGACTCAGTTAGGTTGATACAATCACTTGGCCCTTGGGCCCAAGGACAGGAACAGAACCTGACCCAGGAAACCCTATTTTTTTATACCCAGGTGTTCTGTCATGTTCTGCACATCATGGCCATGGTCCACCAAGAGGTGTGTGACCCCCTCTATGTCTTAGCCTTGGAGATTCTCACCTGCTACGAAACCCTGAGCAAGACCAACACTTCCGTTAGCTCCTTGCTCCAGAAGGTGAACGAGCAGCGCTTCTTAAAGTCCATTGCTGAGAACATTAGCCCTGAGGAGCGGCGCCAAACCCTCCTGCAGAAGATCAGCAACTTCTGAACTTTGTGGCTCAGAAAACAGCTGAGTCTCTGCTTAGTGGGGTCTGTGAGGGCTGGAGCTGAGAAACACAAACTTTTTTTGGTTATGTGAGCCCAGAAATATGACAATGACAGTGTAAAGAAAATAGTTTCTTAGGTATTTGTAACGTACAAATTATAATAAAATTCTCTTTTGAGTTTCCTCTTGTCTCTTTCGAGCCTGTCTCATCACTATCTGAGCTCATCGATATTCTCTGAAATTGGGCTCAGCCCCATCTTAAAGGTCAAGTCAAGCTGGGAGGAACACGTTCATAGCTGGACTTCTTCACCCTAGAATTTGGCAAATAAGCCTAAAGGTGAAATCACCCAAGTGGACAAATTACGAGGTCCATGTGTTCTTTTGTAGTGAAATTCTCTTTTTAAGAGTTATTTTGCAGTTTCTTGGAAGGGGCAGCAACCAGGAAAAGGACTCTTTTCTGCCACCAGTTAGCTGTGTGATTTGTGGACCCCAAAGTCCTGTAACCACTGTAAAAGGAGAGGATTGGACCAAGAAAATTAAACATTGAGGGGTAGATGAATGACCTCAGGAAAACGTGTGTCTTCTGGATCGAGCACTTCTGCCACATGGTCTTAATTAACTCCATCCATTCATTGGATCCAAAAGAAGCGATAGTAAAACTGTCTGGTAAGCTGAGCAGAGACATGTTTGAAGGATTGGTATAATTGTCTTCTGCCTGGGGTGGGTTGTCATGGTTTTGGAGAGTGGGAGCAGGGAATGGTGTGTGCAGATGTGTGAAAATGCAGATTTAAGGCGCCCAGGATAACTCACAGAACTCTGAGGACTGGTTGGTGAGGTGTTCAGCTGGGAGGCAAGGAAGGACCAAGGAGGTGCCCCATCACCTCCTTTGGATCCACGCCATCACAATAGGGCAGTATTGGCGTTCCCTCCCTCGCCTAAAGTGGGCTGGCTCTGTGGCCTACAGTTGGGCTTCCACCCTCCCGACTCCTAACTGGGATTCACCTGGGAAGAGAAGAAAGGCCCTGACGTTACGTGACCGCTGGGCTTGGACTCTAGAACCCTGCAATGTACTCTTGGAAGCAGGAATGACAGAGACATGTTAGATGAGGGAGGAGCTAGGCCCTTCTGGAGGCTGAAAGCATTCATGTACCCCTTCCCCACCCCCCACCCCACCTCTGCCAGATACACAGATAAGAACACAGACCAGAGACAACAGCACACGATGCAGCCACTCCAGTCAGTTCCAGGATGGGTCTTAGGCATGGATGTATTTCACAAACGAGAATAAGTTGGAAAATATTAGTGCAATTTAATCACCACAGGGGTGATTTATAGATACACCAACAGTAAACAAAACAGTAAAAAAAAAACCCCAAAAAAACAGCATTTTACTTTTTTTAAATGGCACCCATTAAAGACTGAAATAGTCAAAATTTGAGACACTGTTACACGCTCAGTACTTTAAAAGTTCACGGACAACACTGAATTAAAAGGCACTTTAAAAAATCTAGTTTTTCACTACCACTTGGGGAAAAAACTTCATGGTAGCAGTTTCTAAAATCCATCCCTGTTGATAAGGAACAGTTAGTGTTGGCACCAGAGGATCCTTTTTGCAAACGGCAGGTGGAGGAGTCAGTCCACGTACTTCGGCCAGGGCTGTCCTGTATTCTTAGTCTCCAGCCTTCTGTGGCTAAATGGTGGTAACTCACATAGGCGCGGGCTTTGGACCACAAGCTCCGGCTTATCAGGAAGCAATCTAGATGAGACGTCTTGTGGTTGAGAATACAGAAGTCCATTTCCACTTCATATGAGAAGGACAGTGTCAGAGGGTGGGGTTACCCAGTGAATAGCACGGTAGCCATCATTTCACTTTACCCCTATAGTTTTTAACAAGCACATTCCGTGTGTGTGGATGTGGGGAAAGTTGGGCTTGGGGGACATGGTAAAAAGGGAGTAACATCTGTGACTGTTGGCAACAGGCTCACAAGTTGGACATTGGTCTTGCCAAGTCAGCCTGCAGAGGGGCTGACCTGTTGGCCTTCCTACCTAGTCAAATGCTTCAGGCTCCCATCCCTGCCTCCTGCCTGAGATTTCTGATTGGAAGTCGGTAGATAGGAGAATTCAATGTTGGCACACGGATGAAAGGATGAGGCAAAGGACCAGTGGGTTATCTAGCAAACAACGAAGAACTGCCGACCCACAACAATTTTCCAAGGCCAATGTCACAAGAAATTATTTTGAGAACCGAGTCATCACTTGCTTCTGCTGGCCCAGGATGTGTGGATACTGCCCTTAGTGGTTGGAAAGGTGGGGAGCCCACCTCCATCAGGGCCAGGCAGGTGTCCCACTACTTATCACTTTGGGCTTGCATTCAAACCGCCGTGTTGCTGACAGAGGTCTGACAGGATCCAATAGTCATTATTACAAGAAAAGTGCTTTTGCCAAAGGGGCAGGTTAGAAGAGGGAGGTAATCTGAATACTCTTTAGAAAAACTCAAAGCCATCTGCTTATCAGTACCCAAAAGGCTGAGGCCACCCAGGGCACAATTTGGTCCACGGAATACTGGAGTGGAGGAGGCAGCTAGTGTGGGGAGGCACCCTTACTGCTTGACTCCCGGAAGCACTTAACCATCCTTTTTGGTCGGGGGAGCATCAAAGAGCAGGGCTGCCTTCTTGCACAGCAGAGAGAACCAGTAGATCTGGGGAGCGATGAGGATGGCATTGGCCACGTTGCAGTGGTAAGGGATACTGAACAGCACCTGGAGCAGGCTCAGTCCCTGCTGTCGGCCATAGGACCAGTACATGAAGGGGAAGAGGAGGATCCGACAGGAGAAAAAGGTGGTCAGCGTGAGGATTCCGTTCACCTTGTACAGCAGGGTGTGCTGCTGCTTTAGCTGCAAAAGAAGAGGGAAGGGGAATGTGCAGGGTCACCTTCGGGGAATGACTGGCCTGAGTCCCACGACGTCAAGGCTAAGCCTCTCCGTTTCCGACACTTGCAGAAAAGCTGATTGAGTGCTGCCATATGTATATATGCATAGAGCCTTGTATTCTTTCCAGCAGTGATGTTAAATTTGACCTAAGCCACCCAGCTGACAGTAGCCCCGGAACAGGAGCCCTGGATGAGAAAAGATCTGTGGCCAGGAAAAGTATATATAAAGGACTGGGTCAAATTTGAATCAAATGTAGTTTGGTCCCCTCTGGCTCGGAAGACCAACTGACATTTCAGTCTGTTCATGGTTCTCCTACCCGCCTACTCGTCGCACTAAGGGGGTGTCTCCAGACCCTGCAGTCTACTAGGGTAGAGCAGAGTCCGTTCCCTCGGTACTGTCTCTACCACTTGGTTCATACGTGCCTGAATCAGAACTCTGCCCAGCGACACAAATGGAGTGCTCAGTTCTGCCGTGAAGATGCAGCCAACAAAGAAGTCCCCAAGCTCTCCCCTAAGCCTCTGCAGATGAAAAGAGAAGAGAGAAAAACAATAGAAGTTAAGGAACCTCGGAAGGAAAATTCTACCTGGGGCTATTGAAAAGGGCAACCACACAGGGAAAGGGAAGTGCTTAGTGGGCCAGCGCAGCACAGTTCATACCCCACGGCCTCCAGAGCAGTGGTGCTCAGGGGTCAAATCCCCAGGGTCCAGAGGCAGCTGCAGGTGGGCTGATTGCATCACACACCGAGCTTCTCTGAATTTCCACATCAGCCGAAAGCTGCAGCCTACTTCTGGGTCTATAACTCGGTCACTTGGCCAAGGGCACTTAAGCCAGTTCAGTTCAACAAAATATGTGCCAGGCCCTGTGCTAGATAGTAGGGTCCCAGCACAATCAGGAGAGACTTGTTAAAGAAGGTAATGCACTCTGCCTCTCTTTTTATCCTTGGAAAAAAGCAAGAGAGCATAGAATAGCGGTTCTGTGTTTTAGTACCACTGGGTGAGGGAAGTCGGTTTCTTCATCTAGGATATAGGACTAACAATTTCTAATTCTTATTTCTGATTATTTCTAATAATTCCTAATGATCAAAGGCTATGAGTTTTAAATCAAGCGCCTGTCACCTGGTAGACACTCAGGAATGGCTAGTTTCCTCTCTGTATTCTCATGTCTCTTCCTTGTTGGTGGGGCGTTTTTAAATGGGAAAAAGTAGATCTGGGGAGATATTTATGAGGCTATTTGCTTTGAGAGTCTGTGCTTTTGGGACATCAAAATAATGCAGACAGCCCTCTCTGGGCATTGGTAGAGCAGATAACCAGTTGACTGAGCCACTCTTATTTCTTTAAAACAATTTTTATGTTGTTTTGTTTTGTACATTGTTTTTATATTGTGTGAACTAAAGGCAGAACCTTGGACAGGTGCTATGGAATCACAGGGGGCTGGGGGATTGCTGGTAAAGGGGGTCTCAAACATTTCAGATTGAATTCCTTTCTACACGATGTGCCTGGTGGAGTGGGGTGTTTCACTGTGGAAGCAGCTGGCCAGAGGGCAGGGGGTTGCAGGAGGAAAGGGAAAGAAAGGAGGGGCAATCTGACTCCTAAGTAATGGGATGCCCAGTTCAATAGGAGAAACAAGTGCCTGAGCCTGCTGGTGGCTGTCCTGGGAGGCCATTACCTGTGCGACCGGCACAAGGACAAAGAGAATGACTGCGTGGTGTGTGATCATGAGGCGGTTTTTACTTAGGAAGTTTCGGAAAATGGTGAGGGAATGTCTGCTGTTTTGGTCCCCAGTTCGGTACCATTCACAGAGGTACATGGCGTAGACGTCATATATCATGTATGGAATCAAAAACCAGACATATTCTCGAGCAAGCCAGTGCCTGAAAGAGAGCATAAGGATGGTCCGTGGAGTAATTATGGATATCATTTAGGGGGGCACAAAGCCAACCTCTTCTTAAAACACATTTGCTTCAGCTTTGTATTTAATTATCTGTTTTCTCTCCAAATACTTTACCATGAAGATGCTGAAACTGACAGATAAGGAGAGTGAACAAATTACAGGGCAGACTCGTAAGTGTCCAAGGCAGAAAGCAAGAACTCACTCAGCACCACATGTCACTATTTGCCTGATCTTGATACTCATTTGTAATGGATTTTCTGGTATTTTGTGATGTAAGCTGACTTTGATATAGATATGTCTACCAATGGTTCAACAGCCCCACCAAGAAACTGGTTTGGAAGGTGGCCCAAATCTCAAATCCAATATTTCCAGTTTAACTCCACTCAGTTACTCAACAGTTGGGAGTTTCCTCGTGCATCTGTTTGCAGCCCCACTTTAGGGAGGTTCTGGGAAGCAACCCTGCCTAGTTTCCTTACAATTCTACAGCTAAACCCAGTTTCACTCATTAAGAGAAATATGTCTGGAAATGAGCCCCGAGTTCAGGGACTACCTTACAGCAGTCAGGTGCCAGAAGAGAAGCTAGGACAAGAGACAGTGTTCCTATTTACTCGTCCAGAGGGGTGGAGTCAATATCAGCTGAGTCAAAATTTATCACTGTCCCAGAGCAGATTAGAAGGGAAGTCTCTATAATTTCCAAAATTTTACTCCCAAATGATAAATAATCTCTCTACAGAAAATACATGTGAAAAAAACCCTAAACTGAAATTATGTGCTATCCCGGGAAGGATTAGATCCACTAAGTCAACAGAGTTCTGTCGAGCACCCGTGCTTACCACAGCATAACCAATTAATAAAAAAACAATAAAACAGGTAACAGCAAATTTAATACACATGCAGGCAAATTAATTAGCCAAGTTCCACTGAGGCAAAAAGATGCAGTATTTATTCTACTGCCCATCTGTGGTGTCCAGTGCTTTCTTGAAGCAATTCCTAGTAAAATAACTATGAAGAGCTACTGAAAGCTCAGCTGAAATATAGCTGACCACTTCCCTTGAATGGAGCCTAAGGTTTTAATATTTTGCACATACTACCAGTTCAATAAGATGTGAAATTGTGGCTGTTAGTTGAATTCCCTGAAAAGTTGCTAGTGAGAGATCTGGTTTGTAACCTTAGCTACCAGTAGCCTGGACCTTAGCTTTCTTTATAAAATGAAGATAATCATCTTTGTCTTATTTCCTTGGCAAAGTTATTGTGAAGATTAAAAAAAAACTAGATGTGTGAAAGTCCCTTTAAATGTAAAAAGTACTATCCACATTAAAGTGTTTAAATTGAGAGACTGCCTCGAGCTGTGACCCTCAGCCTTTTTAGGGATCTGGATCTCTAAGAATCTGATGAAATTATTTTGGGGGATTCACAGATACCTTCTCCTATCTATAGACATTCTATATGAAGGCATAAAATGAAAAGACACATAATAGGAAAACATTTGGGTGTACAGAATATGAACTCCAAAAGGCTTTTTTTTTTTTTGATGATCTAGGTGACTTTAGAGCATCCTTGTGCATCCATGTAAGGTGAGGGCACAAAAAGGTGGTGTCTGTCTACATTTTGCAAGCAGAGAATGTAAGGCATAAAGATACACAAAAGGAGGAGGACCCTGCAAGCCAAAGTCAGGTTTGCTACAAGGCTCAAGCCACTAAGACACGGCTTCTGAGGGGAGAACAGTGCTATGGAACTGAAAGTTAATTGTGCCCAGATCTCTTTCTGAAATGTGTAGCAGCTGCCTGCTGCTTGCCCTCAAGTCAGCTCCCGTCAATGCTGTGGGGCTGCATTTGTCTTAAACTAAGACAAAGGAAGCAGGTTTCAAGTTTGACCTGATAAACTGGAGGCAGTGACGGAGCTTGCTGCATGATCAGAAAATGCTCAATTACAAACTGAATGCAGCCAAGCAAATGCTGTTAGCCCTTGGTGTAAGCAATCAGTCATATGACTATCTTCTCAGCATCTACAATTCATCGCCAATAACTAGTTTTGTCTAAAAAGAGGCATAAGAAAAAAAGCACAAGAACCATGATGGCAGGATTAACCCCAAGTAAGATCCAGGCACTAAATTTGCAGGTCACAGTGAGATAGATGCCCCCCTCAGGCTTCCCTCCCATTCCAGCCTCAACAGGCGGAAAAGCAGGACACTTTGCAGAGTCAACATAAGGATCAGAAAAGGCTATTAACTTTCCCTGCACATCTGACCATCGCTCTTCAACTTGTGAGGAAGGGGGTGGTTCTAGGAGGACAGGTGAAAAGGGTGGCTTTAAAAGGAGGTGAGGGGGACCACCACTGCCCAGGTCTAAATACTATACAAAGTACACCTGTCTGGCATTTGATTTGTTTCTCTGGATGCACATTTCCTGTCCTGCCTCTGGACTGAGCTCTAAAACACATACAATTCAGTTTTCTGAAAGTTCCACAAAACTCATCACCTTTAACAAACCCAGAGGAAATATAAGAGCAGCATTTGTAAGGAAAGGGATGATGGATCTGTTCCTTTCCATAGAAGGGCTCTGCAACCACACTGGATACATCTTGGCCAGTAAATGCTCCAGAGTAGGGGCCCCACCGAGATCATTTAAAGGAAGCAAAAGCCGTACTTGCACTTTTGAATAATTTTCACACTGATCTGTCCCATAAAGAACTTGGATTGATAGACCACACGGTCCTCTAACACAGCACCTTAAATCAGACTTAGACTCTCTCATTCTGTAGCATTTCTTCAGTTTACCTTCTCCTAAGCTAGCAATGCTGAAAGAGGTGAGGAGAGGAGGGAACTGATTATGGTGCCCAAATTTTACCCATTAATCAGCTACCTGACAGTATATGCTGATAAAGAACTAGTGCCTGTGAGCCACTCGAATATGGAAAGTTTGAAAAAGTTAAGCCCTGTGATTTGTGCAGCTTTCACCTGGCATTGGATGTTACCTGTCGGAGACCACGTTTCTACAGGAACGGATGATGATGATCCCGGACCCGGTGGCCAACACAGCCTGCACTGAAGAAACCAGCCTAAAGAGGGGCAGAAAACAAAAAGGGAGGCGGGGGACGCGCTCAATCCCGTCCTGTGGACGTAAAGCCGGAACTCCACCTGACTTTCCCTAGGCAGCCAGGGAGCGGAGGAAAATGGTAGGGCCGCCAGCGCGCTCCCGAACCCCAAGGCAGCTGGCAGATGTCGGCAGCACGGAGATGTCCCTCCCGATGCTCATCGGTGTGGGCGGCCTCCCACCCTCCCGCCTCCTCCGTCTCCTTCCCTCCTGGGCAGGACGCACAGGGTCTTCGGAGCTCTGGGGCCAGCGCCGCAGAGGGGGCGAGAACCGTGGAGGCAGCCCCCTCGCTTCCTGTTGCCCCCCTTTTCCGCCCTGGGTT